ACTGTGTTTTATGGCAACCACATGTGTGTCCAGAGGACACATGTTGGACCCTGGAAAAGAGACTTGTTTGCAGCCTTGTATAGATGATTTTACTTAGAATTTTTAATGGTAGATCTATCATTGCAGTCTGCAGTTTATGCCTTCCTTTCAATTGCCTTGTGATTTAAATAAAACTCTCGCTAGTAAACCCTCAGTCTACTTCTTTCCTCTCAATCCTGAATTTTGATCACAGTATCGGGTTAATGCTTGCATTAAGCTCTAGGACATAAATACTAGTTAACGGAAAGATTTACTTTGAAGTTCTGTATTTAGAAGTAGAAAAAATGGAAGGAGATAAATTAATGCTACCTCCACTCTCTCCCCCATCATTTAAAACAATTGCTTTTCTAAGGATGAAGGATATTAAAACATCGCTATTGTGTGTTAATGTAGAAATTCTCCCATAGAAATTCATCAAAGGCATTCTGAAAATTCATATATATTCAGCAACAGGAATGCCGAAAATGTGAATCTCCTCATTTTTTTTGTTTCTCCTGTTTGTAAAAATGTGTGATGCCGATTAAGCAGTTAGAAACACAACAGATCCAGTGTGTGCAGGGTGGATAAAAATCAATGATTTTTAAAAAAATAAATAAAAAAAACCAGATTTTTTTTATTTAAATCGGATTTTTATGATTTAAATCGGATTTTTATGATTTAAATCGGATTTTTTTGATTTTTATCGAATTTATTTTAATAAAAAACTTTTGGGGTAAAAATCTATCATAAGATAGTTTTCTATTTAAGATACATAAATAATTTAGTTTATTCAGCATGAAATGGAGCTTAGTTATGTAGCATGAGGCTGTATATTCTGCAACACTGGGACTATCGGTGAGTCAACAGTGGGTCAAAGGAGTAGCAGAGATGATAGTTGCTCTTTAAAAATTATGATTTAAATCGAGTTGATTTAAATCAAGCCTTTTTACTAGTGATTTAAATCATGATTTAAATTGTGATTTAAATCAACTCGATTTTTTTTAATTTATTTATTTATATGCCGCCCTTCTTCGGAGACTCAGGGCGGCTTACAATGCATTAAGCAATAGCCTTCATACTTTTGTATATTTATACAAAGTCATCTTATTGCCCCCACAAACTGGGTCATTTAAATCAAATCCACCCTGAGTGTGTGTGTGTGTGTGTGTGTGTGTGTGTGTGTGTGTGTGTGTGTGAGAGAGAGAGAGAGAGAGAGAGAGAGAGAGAGAGAGAGAGAGAGAGAGAGAAATCCAGCTCTCTTCCTTATAGGACAAGAGACTAGCTTGTGTCCATTTTATCTTCTGTGTATCAAACTGAGATAAGCCTGGGAGCCCTCCTTCAATCCATGCTTCAGAAAGGCTGCTTGGTCTGCTTCTCATCTATTGTTTTCTTTGTGTATCAGGCAGGGTGGGCAGCTAGCTTACAGCAAACCCTTTCCTTGTTTCACTAAGTAAGATCTTCTTTGTTCTGTTCATGAAGCAAACAGGAGATGAGTCTCTCGGCTGGCCAGATTCATAGGCAGCCTCACCCTTTTCACAAGGGGAAGTAGTCTGCGGCCACAGCTTTTCTTGGAAGGCAGGCAAAGATAACTCATGCCCGCCAAAGAAGGGGTGAGGTTCTTCCATCTCTGCCCTAATCATCTACTGTCGAATATCTACAAGTTTGAAAGATAAGCCTCTCACACTGAAAGGAAGGTAACGCCCAGGAAGAGTACAAGAATACTTACAGAAACCGAATATTCTTGTGATTCTGAAGTTTGGATTTTCACAAAGATGTAGGTTTGATGAGGATCGCTGGTAAATACCACCTGAATGTTAAGGATACCATATATATTTAAAACTAGTAATTTTTAGTATTATTTGATAGTTCACGTACAAGCATCCATGTAAGATAAAATGAGAAAGAATGTATTTTTGTTGAATTAAAGGAAAGTTGTTAAAAAACATCTTTGAATTAAGATATAGTGGTCCTGGAGTGTACTGGATCCTGTACAGATTTGCACATTGGTAAAATCCTGTTCAATTTTATATACCGTATTTTTCGGACTGTAAGACGCAGCTTAGTTTTTGGGAAGGAAAATAGGAAAAAAAAAATCTGCCTACCAGGTATTCATCTGGCTAGCGTGCTTAGTCTGGTCAGCTTCAGCACATTAGTTTGCTGGTTTTTTATTCCCTGCTTGGGATAAAAAACAGCTTCTAAGGCACAGCTGAGAGGAAGCAGCAATGAGAAAAGCAGGCAAAGCACCGGAGGGGGGCGGAGGGAGATCGCTTCACTCGGCTAGCGCTAGTTAGGACTGAAAAAAAGCGTCTAAAGAACAGCTGAGAGTTGGAGCAAAGCATGGAGATTGCTTGACTCACTAGTGCCACATTAAAGCACAGCAGAGAAGAGAGTCAAGGGAGCAGGCAAAGCTGGGAAGATTGCTCATTAGTGCCTCGTTAGGGCTGAAAAAAAAGTTTATTTGGAGTATAAAACACGCCCAAATTTTCAGCCTCTTTTAGGGTGGAAAAAGATGTGTTTTATACTCCAAAAAATATGGTATGTATAAAACCCCATTTGTTATTTTATATATGGATAAAATTACATTCTGGATACCCACCCTTACCATTAGTCCATTAAACTGGTGGCTACTATAAAAATAATATAAATCAATGGACTATAATTTTTCTAAGAAAATATTTTTGCACGATAACTCAGAAATGAAGCAATACAGAAAAAACCCAGTCATGATACTATAAAAAAGTACAAATAGAAAAGGAGTCTCTACAAACAATGAATAATTTTGTTGGCAATTAAACTGCTTCTTTCTTTCTACATTACCAACCATTATTTTCTGACAACCATCGCGATAAATAAGGGGAAGCTATCTATACTAATCATCCATTATTTTGGATTTTGTACTCCAAAGCCTAAATTAGCAAAATTCCTGAGAAGAACTGTAGAAATTATAGTGTCAAATATCTGGGGAATTATTTACCTTTGCATACAAAAGTTCACCTAGGGCTTGAGGCAGTTTACAACTGAAGTAAAAAAACAACACCCCGTAATAAGAATAACCTATGGCAATCTTAGTATCAATGACACCTACAATGACACCACTACAAAATAAAGTTTTCAAGGGATTCTTGAAAGCCAAAATGTTGTTGATATCCTTCACCCCAGAAGGCAAAAGGTTCCAAGGTCAGGGCAGCAGCTGAAAAGGCCTATCGTCTAGCTCTGCTACCTCTCGTGGTAAAAAAAAAAAAACCCCTCTGCATTCCTTTTCTTGAAGATCACACAAGGAAGCTACATCTGGGTGGGAAAGATGATCTTATAGGAATCTTGGCACCAAGTCATGCAGGACTTTAAAGAGATAACCAATTTTGAACTGGACCTGGAAGCAAGACGGTGACCAATGCAACTATTACCCTAATTAGCAGCTGCCATATTTTGCTCCAGTTGAAGGTCTCAATTGTTTTCAGAAGCCACTTACTGTTAAGTAAACAAGATGACAGGAACACATCCCAGTCCTCAAATTCCTGCAATTGGCCATCCAAAGCGGGCAGTGCACCCCCCCCCCCCGCCCTGGGCTCCCTATATGGATTTAGGAATATCTCGGGAAGGCATTTCCACTTCCAAATAGTGGAAATCTGACAAATAACATATCCATCTTGCAGGGATTTAATCTTAAACTTGTTTTGACCCATACAAACTCAGATGGAAGCTAGGATCAGCTAGTACTTTGAAGCATCCTTAGTCTGACTTGGGCTATTATCAGAATTTTAACGCTGCTCCCCCCAAATGAAAGATCTAAATAGTAAACACTGCTCCTAAAGAACATCCAGGTTCTACTGTAGACCTTTTTTTAAGAATAGTTTTTAATCTGCTTTGTTTTATTATTTTAATGTTTTTTAATGTCTTTATACTATAAAGCACCCAGAGTCATTTGATACAAGATGGGCAGCAAATAAATTTCATATTGAGAAAATATTTTTTTGCCAGTTCTACTAAACACAAGCAACAATTCTGCGAACTGTGCCTGACAGGTTCCCACACATATTTTCCTTGAGAAATATATTCAATTCTTTCTGCAACTCACCTGCCAACCTGACAGATAGCCATGGGATAAACCATTCAATATGTACATATAATCTTACCTCTGCAACAATTTCTCACCTGGTCTGAGCCGCATTTCTGACAGGCATTAGTTATTTTTGTGGGCATTCTTTTCACAGCAGTTGGTTTCTGGAAGTACTTTGGGTAAGCGTTTGCTGAACAGTTACTGTAAGACTTTGACTGAAAGCTGGCCTGTATTTTCACTCTTTCACATCCCTGAGATGAACAGTAACTGTGCCCTTCTCTGTGATATTTGGCTTGCAGGAACAGAAACAACAGCCTGCCGAGGAATACAGAAGTAGGAAAATATCAAGCAGAGCGCATGCCATTCCAAAGGATGCTACAACGGCACAACTGTTTACTTGTGCATCTTACTTTATGCCTCTCCCATCAATGTTATTAATTTCATTTTTTGTTGTTGTTCAAATACTCCCCATTCAGACTTTGAATTACATTATTCATTTTGCCATTTATAACAGTCATTTTGCTAGAAACGAGAGCTCCTTCTTTCTAACATGCCGTGTATGTGTAGCTGACAGAAACAACGTTTGTGTAAGTAAACACATTCAAGCTGATGGAGACAATACAGTCCTGGATAGAATGATCTAAGATAGATAATGAAATTGACGAATGGAAAATAATTTATAGGCATTCTTAACAGCCTAGCTTGCTAACCTTTAGAAAAAGGACCCTTCAGTCATAAATCTGTTCATAACCACAAACCACATTTCTCTTAGAACTGTATCCATGCTACATCTCTCAACCCTTAAGACAGCCAGACCAAACAGTCTTTAGACACTATATAAAGCTCTACTTTTAATTTTTATGGAAAATGTCTACCCAGTGCTATCATCAAAATAGAAAATTTTCTCTGTTCGTCTCTTCTGCAGCTCAGCCATTGAAGACACGGCAACATAATCCTCCATATTATAGTAAGCAGATGCCTGTCTCTGGAATACATCAAAGGTGACTTGAAAAGAGGCATCCGGTGGGTAACAGAGGCCAACTCGAATCCAGTCATTTCTGAAAAAAGGATTGATGAAAAACATTGTCATTTATGATTTACTCTTTGTTGCATTTAACCTTATTTAGCAAAGATTATGGGAGCTGAAAATTCCTGACTTTGCCTATCTGGTGAAAAAGCTTTTGAAACCAATAAACAAGTTTCATTATGCCATTTGTTTTATGCTGGCACATGCCATGAGTTGTTACCCAACATCTAATTAAATATTCTGGTCACTCTTATCAGTTTTATTTAAAGCCTTAACTTTCAGATTCCAATGATTCTATTTGCTTAAGTACGGTCACAATTAGTGTGTAATATGTAACTTCGGTTGATCTGTTTATCAAATATTACCAGCATATACACAAATATGTTTTATGGACTGGTGATTGACCACAATAAAGAGTCTTACCTACTTTCTCCTGTGGATTGTCAGGTTCCACAGGACTTAAAATTCCATAAATACTATTTATTACATGTTTGAATAGTATAGCAATCTATCACAAAAGAACATCACATGCAAACGTACTTGTTGAAATTAATGAGGTACAAGAAAGTTATTTGTGGGGATTGTCCATTCCAATGTATTGTATAGCCCTTTTGAAGCATTACAACTGGCTGGTATTGCTGGAAGTCAGCTTTCTGATTATTAATACCTCGAAGTATCATAGGGTTGGAAGGATATTCGTCTCGTACCATAGTCATTAGATTCTGTGGGTTCCGGGTCTGGATGTATACCTACAACAAGAAAACAAAGAAGGGAAATGCTAAGTCTTATGAAATGACAAAAACCTGATATATCAAAAACACATGCAGTGTGAATGACCTGGATGTAAGACAAGTAAGTCTCAATTACATAAGAACTCTGAATGAAGAAAACTATCTTTTACAAAGAATTGTATGATCTAAGGAAAACAATAAGAAGAATGATTCAATGAAAGCTACAGTATGCAGCGGATATGGGTTTTGGGGCTTAGGAAATCCTCCTTATGGGCAGTTATCTTCTCTTTTTTGATAGTGAACCCTAATAATACTTTGCCATAAAAAAGAAGAAGAAGAAGATATGGATTGAATTGTTTCTGATTTGACTGGTAATCTTGCATGACTGGAGGAACAATTAAGCTTTAGGTAGCCCTAAAGTCAGAAAGAAAACCAGAGTCAGAAATGCTAGAGAGCCTATGAGTCAGATATTTTTTTCTAACCCTCTAAGCTACATTTGAACAGGATTAGTTTTATCATAATCTCTTCCTTGTGAAGTCATAGCTGTACTCTAATCTTTATACACAATATGACACATTAAAAAGTGCATTATTAAAACAAAGCAATTTTATTACAGAACAAGCCCAGACACACCAAAATGTTACTTATACTTCCTTCTCTCGTGTCCCAAGTATTGGAAAAACTGTGAATATGATATGGATAAAACAATATAATGGAATTACACTTTCTTCATATATCTGACCCTATATTTGCTTTCTTCATGCTAGTCTGTTACATTAATTAGTTAATGTAATATAATTAATATAATTAATTAAAAATAATTAGAAATAGAGATGGTGGCAAGTGAATGATGCATTTATTTATTTAATTTTTATTTATTTATGTTCTATATAACCATCCATCTTAGTCAATGGCTCTACAGTCATTGTGTAGCTGTATTTTATTCATGTTAACCTATTTCTCATTTCCTGAATTAACTTAATCTTCTGGGTTTGCACTGAACCATAACTAGCTGTTCCACAGGGTAAAAAGTGGAGGATAATTTGTGGTTTAGACTATAATCCAAACCCAGCCATTGTATGGGTGTGGGTGAGAAGACAAAAAGATAGAACATACATACTCAGCTAAAAAATATTCCAACTGCTGAATTTAAATGTAAATATAAATCAATAATTCAATCTTTTCCTCTAGAAATTGGACATGCTATTCATGTTTCATGCATACAACAGAACATTCACATCTCTCTCTTAACCTGAGCAAAAGTTCCACTGCAGACTACACCATTCCACTTGATAAAGTTAGAACAGTCTGGATGTTGAATCAGATAGTTATCCATTCTACCAACATAAGTGTCCTTGTAACCTGTCACCGATCCATCAACATCATGGAATATTGAATTCTTGTCACCGTCCAAATCAGCTTCTTCAAACCACGGGCCAGGTTTACCAAAAAAGACTTTTAAAGAAACCTTACAAAACAAAAAGTACATTAATATTTATTATATTGTATTATATAATCATATCATAATATTATAATTATTTAAGAGTTGTGGTGAGACAGTGGTTAGAATGCAATACTGCAGGCTACTTCTGCTGACTACCAACTGTTTGAATTGCACCATCTCAAGGTTGACTCAGACTTTCATCTTTCTGAGGTCGGTAACATGAGGACCCAGACTGTAGGGGGCAATATGCTGATTCTGTAAACCGCTTAGAGAGGGCTGTAAAGCACTGTGAAGAGGTATATAACTCTAAATGTTATTGCTATTATTTTATTTATAAGCAGTCCATTTACCTCACAGAGACATTAGGCTAATGCTACTAATTACCATTATTGTCTTCAAACTCCTTTCCTTTTTCATGTGGAAAAAGCAACTTTAATTAAAAAAAAAAACACCCTTACATTTTCATCGAATGCCACCAGGGAAATATTGTTCTGAGGTGTAATTTGCCAGGTATTTTTCAGTAGGAACCCAATTGCACTAGTGAATCTATCAGTAGTTGGCACAAAATTATTGAAAGTACATTTGGTGAGGCGAATAGGTCCATCATAAATTTGAAATCCACGGATTGGATAAGTCCTGTAAAAGCAGAAAAATGTTTAGAAACATTATTTTTCTTTCTGAAATAAATATTTACAGAATAAGCAGGTAAGAGTTAGGGAATAAAAAGCTATTAGGGAATAAAAGCTATTAAATACAAAGAGACTCAGTGAAAAAGGTTTACATTATGGCAAAATTTACGAAAATATTTGCATGCTGTATTTTCAAATGTAGTTTTTATTCTGGGCCATATTTTACTGGACCTTCCACGCCCAAGGAATAATTTCAGACAGGATGATATAAATGTATGTGTGTATTTATATTTTAGACAAAGTCCTCTTCTCAGTATGAAAATTGCAGTTAATGAATTTGATCTCTCAGTTTGCACTCTCGGTTATGAGTGCAGTAGTGGAAATCTTAAAAGAACAGGTTAGGAAATTATCATAATGGGGAAAATCTACCTATGTGGTCACTAGCAGTAGAAAATGACTTCATGGCACATAATCAAGAAAAATACTTTTATTACTATAGAAACAGTTTAGCTCATTATAATTCTACATGAATCCTGACTGGGCTGGATTTCTGTAGTACATATATAGGCTGTTAAAAGATGTATGTATATGTATGTATTTATTGCAAAGTTTTTTTTAAAAAAATATTCAATTAAGTAGATACTCTGGGCAATTTAGAAGTATTATTTAAAAATACTAGGAATGAAATACAAAATGTGTTTAAAACCATGTTAAAACTATAGCAATCATTTTCTGACAACTGGGAACAAGTGGAGATGATAAGAAGTGAGGATAATATGGTCATATCTGTTATTCTTGGCTATGCTTTGCTGTATTTAGGAGTAACAGAAGAATGACTGAAAGTGGCTGGCAACCATCCATGTTAACTCCTTGTCAAGAAATCTATGCTCATATCCATCCATCAGCTTACATCTTCCAGGGGCAAGCTAAGTTTCTTCAGGAACTATCTGATAACTCTTTTAAAGAAACTTCCCTTTTCGTAAAGAAAAAAAAAGATGCATTATCTCCTAAAGAAACTGGACATCCTCTTTGCATTGTTCTAAAGAATGGGGGGAAAAAAACAACCCATACAAGTGGTCAGATGTACTGGGCTCAGCGTTTTCCACAACATTCTGATGGATAAAATTGCCTTGAACCTCACTTTTGCAAAACAGTCGCAATATGTTTCTAAAGATTCTGCAGTATAAATTCAAAGCTAAATTGTACTAGGTAATAAAGTAACTAAGTAATAAAGTCATGGCGCCTATGAAAAGCTATCCTTGACACCACCACAAAATCAACCAGACAACAAGTTGAAGGCTATGAAACACTTACCGGTTTCTAGGCAATGTGCGTGTTCTATTGTTTATTCCTCCAGTCCCCCAATATTTGTTCTGGCCTCCTAAATAACCATAATTCTTGCTTTCACCAACAAACAGAGAGTTTGAGACTTCCTGGCTGGACCCTTCATCACTTGGAAAGCTTCCATCACTATCAAAACCAAAACCAAAAACAAAGACAGGTGACTTTTAGCAGATGTAAAAGATTTAATTCTAGCGAGGCTGGTGCCACATTTAACAGAATAAATGACCATCATTGTGTGTTCTTGCATGGTTTTGTCTTTGTGCTTCATCTCATCCATTTGATGGCCTGATGAAAGAAATAGGCTAGTAAATCTGGTGAAATTTAAAAAAAAAATTGAAACTCACTATCTGGCAACAGGGCTAGGAAATAAAAATAGAAAGTAAGAGGGTGTGCTACCCTGACCTATTTAAGAGGAGAAATAAAATATAATAAATGAGTTCATATGTGTGTACACTGTCCAGTGGGTCTCCAATAAATGGCAACCACTGAAAATAAAGCCAAACAGTACAAACCTTGCAAATGTTAAGCCTATTCCATTGTCAGCAAATCTATGATAGAGGGGAAAAAAAAGAACTTGTTTTAGAAAGCAGCTTCTTTTGATTAGCATTAAAATAAATACATTTTCAAAACGCGGCTCAGAACTTGAGCCAGACAAGGAGAAGATGCTGAATCAGAGCTTGGCAGCTGAACCCATTTTCCATAAATACAAGCGGTTGGTTCAAAGCAAACTTAAAAAGATAACAGCAAAAAAATATGTTTGTATATTTTTAAGCATACTAATCCAGTATGTTTCTGCTACCT